ATTATAATCATAACATGTACTAGCGGAATGATCTGGTACTGTATTGTAAAATAATTTTTTTATATGTTGCACACCGGTGAAGGATCAGTCGTGTAACATTGACGGTTCCTCCTGTTCAAGAAACATCACTAACGTAAGGATTCCAGATTAGAAGTAATACAAAAAATGATAGCCAAATGTAATAGAAAAGAAAACTGTGAGGCCGTGGTGATAGGGAACTGTGGATTTCGAAGTTGGATGTCTTATACTGTGAGACCAGGAATCTCAAAGATGATAGACTTACCACCACGTGGCTTGGAGGGCTGAGGAACACTACAGGTGACGTATGCAGCAACGAAGTGTCTAAACTCGCAGGGATCGAATAATACAAGGCGTATAGCCGTCCGTTGATCTCCACAGAATGATAACTCTGGCTAGGAGATGTGTGAGAGATCCTAAAGGCGTTTAAGGCCTTCAGGATGCGGAGGAAGGTAAAAAAAAAAAAGAAAAGCATATTAACAACTTTATCATTATTTTAAGCTTATCAAAAAAAAAAAAATTTTTACTAGTTTTTGCAAAGTAAGTTTTAACAACTAGATTAAATATTTGGCTAGCATCTTATATAAAATACAATTGAAATAAGGGTCCAATACTAAAAAACTTTCAATCAATCAACAAAAAATCCCCAACCCAAACTTCGCCTAACTAAAAACACTTTTTAATGCTTGGCACAAACATCCGACTTTATTAAGTACCTGAGTATGCTTAATTGTGTCGAGCACGAAAAGTTTTGTATAGCAAAATTTAAATAAGACAATCGACCTTAAGCTAGCAAGTAAATTTGGGTTTCTAACATTATTTTATATTAACCCAGAATTTTAAATAAATAATTATTAAACTTGCTGAGAAAACCACACTAACAGTCTCAGGGACAAAATTTAAACACTCTTGATTTTCTCTAAAATTGGTGTCTCAACTCATCTAATAGCACTACGAAGTTGCAGAGCTCACGTTTCTCATCTTATCAAGCTTTATTTAACCTCTGTGGCATCAAAATTATTCATTCTACATTAAAAAACAAGCTTTTGCTTGACAGAATACAATTTTTTTTTGATATTTTGACAAAAATATAGTTTTTGCTGACAAACGATTTTTACTAACTGTCAAATATCTAAAGAATTAGTATAAATTAAAAATCACTATTTCATTGTGTATGATAAAGATGATCCTATTTAACTTTTAATAACAAAATTTTATTAAAAACTTTCATTAAAAACAAATTATCTCAACTAACACAATATGACAAAGAATACCATATAAGAAATAATCAATATACATTATTTGTGCTATGATTATAAATACTAGTCATGAAGGAATTACTCAACATAATAATTAATCAATGACTAATCACCCTCAAATCGATAATTATAAAAAAAAAACAACTTAAGTTTAGATTCGGATAACAATTGTTATAATTATCCAGACCAATTAGATTAATCTGAATATGCAAATATATATTTAAAATATCCGATTCCAAACTTCAAAAAAATTACATAATACATGAATTATTTAATAAATTCATTACTTTGATCATTGTTCAATTTGCTTTGCTTTTAATACTAAAAGACTTGGAGTAATTTCTCCAGCTAAAAATTCTTCGGCGACATATCCTAAAGATCTATGTGTACCAGGTTCATTCACAGTAGGATGACTATTATGTCCTAGAATAACTAAATCTTTACCTTCGCGAAAATGGTTATTTATCTCTTTGATTGCATATTGTATTGGAGTAAAAGAATAACGTTTTTCCGGACATTTCAAACGAGGCTCTTGCTCCTTCAGCAAACGAAGCTTATTCCAAATTAATTCATCATCTATATATTCTTGTGAGACGACATATTTAGAATCGATAGTTGGCATGCTTCGGTCATGCAAAGGACGTTCGATTGGTTCGTCGGTAATGACAATTTCGTTTTGGTCAGGTTGAACTTCGGGAACGTCGTTTTCAGTAGGGGTTTCTGATTTGATTATTCTCAACACTGTTAAACTGACATTTGGATCATCATGTAATAATCTTAGAGCGAAAGTAACTGCTTCACGATCATCAGCGCTACCAAAGAAAGGTACAAACACACGAAACACACGAGAAGGACCGGTTGAATCGATAGCACTAATAAGACCATGATCAATAAATACACCTACGCTTGCATAAATAGGTATAAATTTGAAAGTGTACTGAACAAATTTTGCACTCTGATCACGCCATGAAATTATTACCAAAATAACATCAGTATTTTTTTTGCAATAATTTACTAGAGCAGTATTAACATGAATAGCATTAATATTAATTGAATTATTTTGACTGAATGTAGGGAATATTCTCATATCCATTCTCTGATCTGGGCGATCATCTGGGTGATCAAGAAATTTCATCCCAATAGATGTGCGTTGCTCAAGTTCAATAGTATGAACTACTGCAGATTTTACATCTGAATCAGGTTGATCAATTTCCTTCACGCCCAACAATCTGTAACCCACCATTTTTTTTAGATATAAATAAGTAGCAAGTGGAGTTGTGACAGACATTACCACTAATATCCTACATATGTTAAAATAAGTTGGGATGAGTATAATTTTTATATATTTACTGTATTAACGAACACATTTATATCTATTTAATTTTTTTCCTTACATCATAAGATTAATACTTACATTATATACAAGATCGTGAAAACGTTCTCATTTATAATATTTTTTTCAAAACCAATATTGAGAATAATTAATTCTAAAGCACTATATTAAAAATATAAGAAATTAAAAGATTTTCAATAAAAAACATTATCGTTATAAATATATTAGATTAATAATTACCCTTTATAGTTCATAAAGGATCCAATAATTGAAGCATCATTAAAAGGTATGCCAATTAATTTCGCACCAATAATACAACCAAATGTTTTGCCGACTATAGCAACTATAGATGACAAAATTGCCAAACCCCATTCTATGCCGCCTAGGTTAAAAATATTAGTATTCAATCCGGATAGTATAAAATACTTTAAAATTTAAGTAAACATAGTTTAATTGTTAGTAAATGGTTAATCCAAAAACAGATTATGATTTGTCAGTTGATAGATGAAACCAAGATAAGTTTGTTAATTAAAATCCTAATTGATAAAGCTGACAAGTCCTATTAAAATTTGAAAATTTCGATCAAGTGTAGTGATGTAGTGAATTCAATCACATGACATACACAATATTTTAGGTTCATTTAGGTTAGGTTAGTGGGAAATATAAAAGATGGTTTCTTATGTAGATTTCTAAAAATAATTATGATCGTTTACGTTTATGTTAAATTAAATTGTGAGAACTATATAAGTATATTTAGGAGATGCCTAAAAATACTATACAAAAAATTGTTTCTTCTAACAACTGTTCCATGACAAATTCTCAAGAATTTATGGTTATATTAAAGTTAATACGTACTGTTGGTATAAATAGGACAGTCACTAGGACCTTAATGTTTTCAGCAATTGCTGACGCGAAAGTTTCCTGTGAAAATACCATACCGATAATGAAACCTCCAAGAAAATAATGAATTCCAATGTAATTTGTAATTAACGCTGATAACAGAACAATTGATATAGTAATAGCGACTATCGATAATGACGGATTCTTTGAATCTTCTCTGACGACAAATTTTTGTAATAACGAATAAATTATAAATTTAACAATCAAAATCCAGATAACACCGAAAAGAGAGTCAAGAAAAATTCCATAATATTGGTTTTTGATGTAACTAGGGGGATTAGAATATAACCGACAATGTGGTCACCAAAGGCAGCAGTTAATGCTCTAGCACCCACATCCACGTCCGTCAGGCCTAAGTCATATAAGACACGCCAAAGAGTCGGAAACGCCTATAATTTAATAATAATATTAATTCCACCAAATAAAATTAATGTCACTACGAAAGGTAAACAATGAATTTTTTACCGTAATAGTTATGGAAGGGCAAACGACTAATACAAAATTCAGAAATGGTACATCATGGGAAAAACCATCAGAATCAACGACATTATAATTGTTCATTGTGTCATACATGATATACGCGATACCTAATCCTAGCGTAAAAGGTAGAATGGTTCCACAAATGGAAATAGGAATAATGAATTTCATATTGTCGGATAAAATTTTTGGTTTTAAATTTGCACCGACTATGAACGAATTTAGAATCCCAATTAAATGGGTGAGAGGTTTAAGACAAACGAGTGAATCTTTTGGAAACATGGTATCCATGTATCCTGGAACATGTCCAACCACAGAAACACCCAAAATAACTCCGCATATTGCACCGCATACGACTTGTGGTTGACGTATATGCTGTAAAACAGCATGAATTGCAGCAGTAACCGATATCGTAATAACGATCTGTCACAAATAAAAGCATAATATTAAGGTTTCATAATTGTTGTAAAGGATTACTTTACAAATTAAGAAAAAAATCAAGGCATCTCACTTGTACAAAAGCAAGTTCGTCATCAACTTTCGTAGGATTAGCTCCTGAAAGTATGTCGTTTGATTCGTTACTCATTTTGGCAGCGAAAATATACGTTGATAGGTAGGTTATGCGATCGCTTTCTACCTATTCCCGTTGATTTAAGGAATTCAAGTAGAGGCGCTGTACTTGTCTTCAGAATTTTACAGTATATATATATTAAAAATGAGTAAGCGAAGATGTTATAGAATAGTACTATTTTAGAAACCATTTTCTAAACAGCACATACGTATGCATGCACGTACGTACGTATGTAAGTACTTAATGGAATTCTAAAAAAATGAACAGAGCCACAATTGGACTTCAAATGAATAAAATGGTATGATCATTTGAAACAAAGGCCTATATCAAAATGGTAATGTAACATATATAATCTAAATATAAAATTAACGGTGTTGCTGAAGAAAAGCCCCAATCATTTATTTATCCGCATTTGTACAAAAAACAAAATCGAATTATCTAAAATAGAATGTCCAAGCATTATAATTTATCGAATTTGGGTTGCCATTTTTACAATGGTCAACGCCACAAAATTACATACGTACGTTGCTTTGATTAGGTCTTAAAATGATTCTTTAAAATAACGAACTATTGTTTCGATTAAAATTTCGGAGTTCTCTTATGCGATAAAATTTGTGTAACTAATTGTTTCTTGCAATGCGAACTGAGATCTTTTGTCTTTAAATTATAATCATAAACCAAATTTGGTAGTTTGTATTTTGGTTGTTATAACGGCATTAGAGACAAAGCAAAAGATATTTTTGTATGTAATAATTCTGAATTTTGACAGAACATAAATAATCATGCCTGTAATGACTAACTAAAGAATAAACAGGGGATACTGGTGCTATATAGGATAACATTCTTATCATTGGCTAATCAAAATTAATTAATTTTTTATGGGCTACCAATAATAGAAGGACAGAGACTATGTATGCGCACATATGTATATGTATTGTATATCTAGAACTAAAAGTTAACAATTGTTCTTTATGGAAGAGTAATAAAATTTGTTAGATTTTAAAATATTATTGGTCTTTAATTATTTAGAATTATTTAGAAATTTTATAAGAATTTATGATAATAAACAGTCATACTATAGTCGTGTTTGACATCAATTTAATCCCGATAGATCTGATGTGTCTCTTTTATTTTATTGGTCCAGTAAAAACGTGGTTTTGATTGTGAACGATCTGCGCATTTTACAATTGTATAATGAATAAAGTTATCATTTGTAAACGTTATACAAGACAATTAACAACAAACATGAATCTAATTATATTTTAAACCGATTATCATTTGTTTTACCATTGTAACAAGTTAGCATCAAGCATTATAGTGCAATACAAGTAAAAGTCACCAATTGACTGCGTTGTTCTGAAATATATTTAGTTTTCCATGTAATTAGTCTTTTAAACGGCCTATAAACCATTTATTTATGAAAATTTTCATACTATTATCCTATTCAATACATCTAGATAATAATTTGGCAGATCAATTTATTGACTATAAAATAACCTGTCCACTTTATTAACAGGACAGAAATAGGTCTGTGTCATTTCACCGAATATCAATTGACCGACAAATATATCTCATTGAATTTATTTCACCGACAAAGTAATTCTAGTCATTATCGTCAGGGTCAAGTTTAGAATTAGAGTTAAGGTCAGTGCAATTTTTAAAAAAATCTGTCTGTGAAAAAATCTGTCAGTGAAACAAACTTATCAGTTAATGGATTTTCAGTGAAATGACACAGTCCTGCTAGTATTTCAAAAAAATGGAATTCGGGATCCAGTATCGTTTTTCAAGTATTGATTGATATATAGTACCAAGGTCATTTGCGTAATCGATATTTGAAATTTGATTACAGAGTTATGACGGTTAATATCGAATGCATAATTAACCAAATTGAGTAGAAATTGCATTCGAAAAAATTCCGAAGAAAATTTTTATCAAAAAACAAAAATTACTAATTTTCTATCCTATTAATATGAGTGAGAGTGCTTGTTGTTTATAGAAAACTTGGCGACTTTTAATTCCTGGTACTTTTTATTTTTTTGAAAAAAAAGATGTATTTTCAATACAATAATTCATTTAGGCAATAAATGTATTTTTATTTCATCTTTTTCATGTTCTTGGAAGACTTTTTGCACAATTCAATCTCTTCATATCATTTATCATTTTTTTTGAATCAATATTGATCATTTTTATTGCAAAAGATCAAAGACATTTAAGAATATGTGTATGAAGAGTTATGCTAATAACTTTATGTAAATAAAGTATAATTAATAATTTATAATTAATTTCTAAAATTTCTAATACAGTTTCAGATCCTTTAACATCTGTCTCATCCATTTCGGCTATATATTATTTTCAGAAATAATTGAATTCATTTCAATAAGTATTAACGTACGAATTATCTTCAACCTGGTTGTTCAGCTTCTATAATAAGAGAATGATTCGAATTTGATTATTGGAATTTTATTTTTTAGTAAATTAATAAATAGAAAATTCTATAATAAATAAATAAATAAATATATTTCTTTCAAAAAAATATGCATTTATTATTCCAAGATTAATAAATAAATAAGAATAAAATCATGTGCATTAATACGCATAGTAAGACTTCATTGTTTTTAAAAAATTATCACGCCCAGAATCTATGCTATATATTTTTTTTTACATTCACGATTACTTTCCTCATTTGCTTTCTATGCTTCCTTTTCGTGCTTTCATTTACCCGATTAAGTGTTTGATACAGGTCCTTTTATTAGCTTAAAAGTAAATTATGGAAATCATCATATCGAACGATATCATCATATTATTTAACTTGGTAAATAACTGATCTTGGCGGCTATGCTAAGTTCATGGCCAACCATTCTAGATTTATTATTTGTTGCTATAGTGGTATTGTGTAGGTAAATCAATTACTGTATACGCAATAAATGGTATAATGAAAAGAATTAGTCTTTTCACTTTACGATCTAAAGTAAATTTGGAATTGATCGACTGTTTCACCTTTGACGATTAGAGATTATTTTATCAACACGATGAAGAATCCGATGGGAAAAAAAACAATCGAAAAATGTAAAATATCGCTAAGATTTGTAATTTACATTTGGTCAGCAATTTTTCTCTGTCCACTACTAAGATCTTCTAGTTTATGTCTCACAACATGAGAGTAATATTTAAGTTGTGACATGACAGATAACAAAAAAGGGAATCTTTTTTTACTTTATTTTAACCTTACAACATGTAGCAATTCAAACCTTGGATAGTGAACTCAAAAAAGACGAAGAATCTCAAAACATCAATACCCATTACCTTATCGTAGATGTTTATTTATAGGAAAGGCTTAAACAGTGCTGTTTTTTCAACTTTCCAACTGTTTTTATTATAGAAATATGGGAATGCATGAAATCTTTTACTTTTATATTATCATGCACATATATATGCAGTACAAATTGTTGGGTTCGGAATATTGCGACTCTGTCGCTCCACAATTCAATATCTCGCGTAACGTACGATAAGTAACCTTTTCGAAAGAGGGTGTTAGA